TCGTATATATTATAAACGATGGACGAGAATTTCTTCTGTATAAACTGAACAAACATGTAAGATCAATACAAAAGACCATGAGGACGTATGGATTCAGATATCCTCCTGCATTTACGATTTATGTACCATATGAAATCCCGTCTTTAACCCCTTCAGGACGGGTGACGGACGAGGTCCGTCACACAGGGGAGACCCTTAACGACGGGTGACGGACCTTGTCCGTCACGCGGTAAAATTAACCCCGGATCGCCGCTATCGCGGCGATCGCGGGGTTAATGGTGCTCCCGGTATGCCTCTGCATTGGAGGCATACCGGGAGCACCCGGTCAAGCTGCCCAGCACATGTGCTCGCTCTGACCACAAGTCGGAGCGAGCACATGTGCTCTGTATACTCACCTACCGGCTCCCTGCACTTCCGGGTTCTGTGTGAAGTGCAGGGAGCCGGATCAGTGCTGATCCTGCCCCCTGCTGTTAAAAAAAATAAAGTTTATTTAAAGTGTCCCCCCCCTTACCCATTTTAATAAAAAATTAACCCCTTCCCTGCCAATTGATCACTGACTACAGTGATCAATTGGCAGGGATTACATTTTACTATGATCTGATTTTTTTTTTTAACCCCTGAGGGTTAATTCTTTTTTTTTTAACCCTCAGGGGTTAAATTAATTAAATTAATTAATTAAATTATTTTTAAATTATATATTTAGATAGCTGGGGTAGGTGGAAGTTAGTGGGGAATTGGGGGATTTGGCGTTAGGCTAACTAGGGGTTAACGTTAAAAAAAAGTTTTAAAAGAAACTTTAAAAAGTTAAAAATTAAGCTTAAAAAAATGTTTTAATAACATTTAAGTAATAAAAACAAAAAAACACACTTTACCTAGTCCAAATAAAAATTAACCCCTTCCCTGCCAGTCGATCACTGCCTACAGCGATCAAATAGAGATCACAGTATTATACTGTGATCTAATTTTTTTTAACCCCTGAGGATTAACTTTTATTTATTTTTTTAACCCTCAGGGGTTCAATTTATTTAATTAATTAATTTAAATATTTTATAACTATATATTTTGCTAGCTGGGGTGGGTGGGAGTTATGGGAAAATGGGGAATTTACTGTTAGTGCTGCGTACTGCTAGTTAGGGGTTAACAGTAAAAAAAATAGCTTAGAAAAATGTTAAATCTGTAAAAAAGTTTTAAGAAAGTTTAGGAAAGTTTAAAAAAAATTTATAAGCAAAACAAAAGTTTAAAAACTAGTTTTTAAAAGTAAAAAGTTATAAAAAGTAAAAAAATACATTTTAAAAACGCTCATTACCACTACACCTGGAACAAACTAGAGAAAAAATTATCCCACGCCAAGGTTCAAAATATGCCTTTTGAATTACCCCAGGGTGTATTCTTTAATAAATAGTATGTGTTTGTGGGGAAGTTTCAATAACCAACCGTCTAAACTATTCCAAATTGGAACATGGACACAGCGTAAAACTTCAAAGTTAGAAAAAAACTGAATGGCTGCGTCTCAAATGCGCCCCTTCAACATCCACATATACCTGGCAAAGGTACATACGGGGGTATTGCTGTACTCAGCCGACATAGCTGAGCAACATATGAAGTATTATACAGTCATAGTACACATAAGGTTTGCAAAATATGCTGCGCAAACTCACTTTGTATGTCAAAAAGGCAGAAAAAATGCTTATTACCACTACACTTGGTACAAGCTAGCGGAAAAATGATCCCACACTAAGGTTCAAAATATGCCTTTTGAAATACCCTGGGATGTCTTCTTTAAGAAATGGTATGGCTTTATGGGGAATTTGGATTATATAGCCTGGTAAAATACTCTAAAATGGGACATAGGCACAGCATAAAAATTCAAAGTTTGAAAAAAACTGGAATGGCTGTGTCCCAAATGTGCCCCTCCGATGTCCACACATACCTGGCAAAGGTACATACGGGGGTATTGCTGTACTCAGCCGACATAGCTGAGCAACATATGAAGTATTATACAGTCGTAGCACACATAAGGTTTGCAAAATATACTGTGCAAACTCACTTTGTATGTCAAAAAGGCAGAAAAAACGCTTATTACCACTACATCTGGTACAAGCTAGCGGAAAAATGATCCCACGCTAAGGTTCAAACTATACCTTTTGAAACACCCTGGGGTGTCTACTTTAAGAAATGGTAGGCCTTTGTGGGGTAGATTGAATTTAAAACCTGTGAAGATGCTTGGAAATTGCATATAGGCCCAGCGTCAAAATTCAAAGTTTGGTAAAAACGGATATGGCTTGGTCTCCTATATGGCACTGTAGCTTCACAAAATAGTGACAAAGACATTCATTGGGGGTGTATTTTTACTCAAAAGACTTAGCTGAGCATAATTTGGGAGGTTTGAACTTAGTGGCACATATGAAATATACAAAACGCCCAGCAAAAATGCAATCCGTATGTAAAAAATGCACAAAATAATTTTTTTACCACATACTTTGGCATATATTGGTGAAAAAATGGGGGTATGTTAAGGCACAATATGCACCTTATGAGATACCCTGGAGTGTCTACTTTTACAAATGGTAGGCCTTTGTGGGGGTTTTTTGAACAGTCAAACTGTTATAATACCCCAAATGGAAGCTAAGGCTCATTAAATCCGTCTCTCAAAATTCTACTGTGAATACTGTAAAGGACAGGTCTCCTATATGGCACTGTAGCTTCACGAAATAGTGCCAAAGACATTCATATGGGGTGTCATTTTACTCAGAAGACTTAGCTGAGCATAATTTGGGGGGTTTGAACTTAGTGGCACATATGAAATATACAAAACGCCCAGCAAAAATGCAATCCGTATGTAAAAAATGCACAAAATTTTTTTTTACCACATACTTTGGCATATATTGGTGAAAAAATGGGGGCATGTTAAGGCACAATATGCACCTTATAAGATACCCTGGAGTGTCTACTTTTACAAATGGTAGGCCTTTGTGGGGGTTTTTTGAACAGTCAAACTGTTATAATACCCCAAATGGAAGCTAAGGCTCATTAAATTCATCTCTCAAAATTCTACTGTGAATACTGAAAAGGACAGGTATCCTGTATGGCACTGTAACTTCACGAAATAGTGCAAAAGACATACAATGGGGTGTCATTTTACTCAGCAGATGTAACTGAACACAAAATAAAACTTTGTACAGGAATAGCACACACCAACTTTACAAAATATACACGAGAATTTCTCTGTTATAAGTTTGTGTGCCAAAAACCAAAAAGAACACAATTTTACTCCAATATTTAGCAGAGGTTGGCGGTAATATGGCTACGTAGAAAGTGTCAAAACAACCTTAGGTAAATAGCCCGTGATGTCTACTTTATATAAATATATACTTTTGTGTGGCAATTTTGTTTTCTTTTATGGCTATTAAGCTTACAAGACAAACATACCAAATTCTAAAATCGCTCCACATTAAAATTTTATTTTACTCCTTGTGCTTTGTGACCTGTAACTACCAAAAAAAACTTAAAATCCCAGACACATTATATATTCTGTAAATCAGAACAAATAAATAAATTTATTTTTAATTACTTTCCTTAACCTGCACTAATTATGCACACATTATTATTGCAAAAACTGTAAAAAAAAACAATATTTTTCATTTTTTTTGCATTTTTCTGTATTTTTTTTATAATAAGTAAGCATTATATATATATATATGTTATATCAAATTAAAGCCCTTTCTGTCCTTTAAAAAACAGTATATAATATGTGTCGGTGCAATAAATGAGAGAGATGCAAATTGCAGTTGAACGCAAACAGCAAGAAAATGCAAAAATTGCTTGTGTCATTAAGCGTAAGTCAAGCTTCTGAAGCTGTGTCCTTAAGGGGTTAAAATGCCATCACTATCCCATATTGAATCTTGACCCGCAAGGATACATAGGTGAAATCTAAGGCGTGCATCACGGACAGAACTTTGAGTGATAGTTCTGGTCCGAACATGCAGCCTCCGTCACATAGAGGCTTGGAACACTTACGTATTACCGATAGGAGGATAACGTGGAACAATTACACACATCTGCCAATAATTTTACAATTTATTCAACTATAAAACTGGAAGCCAGCTAACCATGGATTATCACATTTTTTATCCAGCTGAGGAAGCTACATCGGTAGCGAAACATGTCCTGGGACTTTTTATAGACATTTGTCTTATCTTAAATTATTGTATGTTTATTTTATTTCCATTTTTATATGTTATAATACATTAATTATTTTCAAACATACATCCTAGTTGCCGGATACACTTGATTAAGGGAGTGCAGTCCCAAACTGCACAGCGTGCTACTATAGAGCCACAGGGGCTCTGGGTTTGTAAGTATAAATTTTACTTACAACTTTCTATGGAAATTTTATAACAGTGCTATACTATTGTGGCTTTATTTCTTATCAACCCTAGGAAGGACCACCTAATCAGTGTTAAAAGGGGGTGTGGGGGGTCGCCCATATGGACCCGCAGCAATCCATACCAGAGCTGGGTTTATAGCTCCATGCTTGTGAGTGTACTGTATCTCTTTATAAGTTATATTTAACACATATACTATTTACACTATGTACATTGTTTCTTTTGTACCTTTAGAATTTGTATACCAGTGATATATAAGACTTCCAAATTGACACATCTCTGTTACATCAGGCTATATGAGATAAATTGTCATCTTTTACATAAGCGCCTCGCTATTTGTATTTTGTTTAATGGGGCTACCTGCCCAGTATTTATGCAGGTCTTCCACCAGGTGGACACTCCCCTAGGGGACCTGGTGGAAGAATGGGACACAATAGCAAGGTGACCAATCAAGGTGACCAATCACGGAAACACACAGTTAAGCCCTCCCACAATGTTACCATTACTACATAAAACATATACATTCAACATATCCCCAGATAGCTTAGATCTGAGCACACATTATTATCGAATGGCGCTCAGATCACATACATACAGTTCAATCACCATGGAGCCAAAGTCTTTCACATAGTCTTTCGTTATACGAATAGGCTCCATGGCAAAGCTATCTGGGGTAGCACTGTTCACACAGTGAAAGTCCCGAATGATAGATGGGAATTTTGTAATTTGTGTAATTTAGATATTGTTCCAAAGATCATTGTAACAGTTTTGTCAGTGTTTAGGAAGAGTTTGTTTTTTGTGATCCACTTTTCTACCTCTGTAAACTGGTCTTAGAGCACAGCCTCAAGCTGCGGTAGATTGGATTTGCTTGCATAGATAACTGTGTCGTCTGCGTACATGTGTACATTTGAGGATTTGCAGACATTAGGCGGATAATTTATAAATAATGTGAATAGTAGGGGGCTGAGAATGGAACCTTGGGGAACACCACACGTGACTGGGAGTGGGAGGGAGTCGCTGTCAGAAATGGACACATATTGTGATCGATCCGATATATATCTACATTATACATACATATACATATATGATCGAAACCAGGTTAGCGGACAATCACCATTACCTGAGTTTTTTAGTTTGTGCAGTAGAATGTCGTGGTTCACTATGTCAAAGACCTTTGCAAAATCAAGGAAAATAGCTCGAGTTAGGTCTCCTTGTTCCATGCCAGTTTGGATGTAATTGAAAACTTTTAAGAGGGCAGTTGTAGTGGAGTGATTCGGGCGAAAACCTGATTGACCAGGGGTCAGATAGTTAGATTGTTGGGAATACTCACATAGTTGCATATGGACACATTTTTTTAAGATTTTTGACAATACTGGGAGCAATGATATTGGGCGATAGTTAGAAACCAAGGTAATGTCACCGCTTTTATGGATAGGCACTACTCTCGCAGTCTTCCAAAGGTTGGGTATGTATCCAGACACCAAGCATTTGTTAATTAGGGTTGTGACAGGGTTCGCAATTGCTGGTGCACTTAGCTTCAAACTGGCACCAATAGCCAAACAACTAAGATACAGGAGTCAGATACGGGTGGGGCACAGATGGATCCCTGGCTGTACCACGGGGAGACCAGACACTCACACTGTCCTCCACTGATGACCAAAAGATATTCCTCCGGCAGTTGAACCTTCAAGGCGCAGACGAAGATGAACCCAGGAATGAAGGCAATCAGACACAGCGTAAGCCCAAAAGCAACCAGGGGTCGAAGAAAAGCTTATACGTGCTGACTTTGACAAAGAGACATTCCTAGGCTCTACCATGCAGTTGCCTCACTCCTTCTAGGTGACTCTCATAGCAGTAAAGCCATTGCCCAGGAAGTAAAGCAGACTCGGAGTATTACTACGACAGCTTGTTAATGCATATATCCTAACTGTTTTTGGTATCATGTTTCCAAGGCCGGAAACTCATAGTCACAACCCGTACTTGACTGCTATATAGCCATATTTGCAGCTTCCCAGCGTATGTTCTTTATTGATGTAAAATTGTTATTATTTTCATACCACGGCAAAGTTGTATTTTGGGTATCCAAACTCTAATAAAATACATTTAAAAAAAAAAAAGAAGACAGATAAAGGTGCTTCCAAAGCACATTTTTTGGGATGATATATATTTTTTTGTCTGGTATTAAATCCAGTCAAAATTCTATAAAAATATTGGTTGAAACCAATCGATAAATTTCGACTTGGTTTTGCCGATACAATGGAATCAAAGCCATAGCTTGGAGTTGAAATGATTACTTCTAAGCATTTATTGCTCTCTAATCTCCTCTTCAATTACTGTATCATGTTGAAAAACAAAACTTATTTTTTTTTGACAATGCTGAAAAATATGTTCCAACTGTTAGGACTGTTTATTAGTTTAGTAGAACTATTAGCATTTCTTTGCCAGAATTTTTAACCTTGAATGACACAGTGAATAATTTTATACCTACATTACATTTTGTCAATCACTTTCCTAATACCTGTGGTATTTCTTGGACTTGGCTTTTCACTGGTTAAGCTGCATTTAAGATTACTTGTATCACAAAAGCAAACACCGAAAAAAAATAAAAGTCACTTTAAGCACCATAATTCATTCGTTGTTATGGTTTCTTCACTAACTAGTGACTTATAGTAAACTGACAACTAGCTTGCAAAATGTAGGTCAAAATAATCAATTAAAAAAATTCAAATATGACAATTGTTTCTGGAAACGCAATATAAAATAGCTAAAATAATTTGTAAGGAAAACAACATGTCTTATCCTGTATGTGTGTGGCAGGAATACTTAAAGGCTAAATGCATTGCATGTAAAAGGCTGGAGAAAATGGGGATATATCAGGCTGTAATGGAGGTGGAAGAACTAGTAACAACTTGGAATATATTGTATACAGCAACAACCAGAAATATTTTGACTTGTCTTCCTTCCTTCTATGTCTTCTTTATCTTTCTTTAGAATGCTTTTAACTAATAAGATGCTTACTCCTTTTGGCCAAACAAATCTGTAGATTCCACATATTCAGGTCACACATAGAATGGCACAGTATTCTTTCCCCCCAGTCTAACATTAACAAAGGTTTTCTCAGTTGAAAGAGGTTCTGAATGATTTGAGCACAGTGGGATATCGCCATTAAGCGCTATTTGGAAGCAATTTGGAATCAGCAAATCAACTAAGTATTTTCAGCTCTATCTTCGATGCTTTTGAATGGCTTATTTACTTTCTAACTAGCCTGCGTGCCGTTTTCCTGATAACCGTACAGAATATCCAGGATGAGGGTTACTGTAATGCGCCATTAGTTGCCGGTTTGAGTTCTTTTCAGTGGCAAGCCTTTGAGTTTTCTTTTTTCTATATAGCTCTTTTCTCAAACCACAATTGTCCAAATTGTCTTCTAAAATGATGGGTTAACTGTCTGCATGGGCAACCGCATAAAAGAAATCCTTCGAATTGAAATAAACAGTGATGGATTGGGTGTTAGCCACTCAGCCAATTACAGAAAGGTCATCTTGCTTTGATCTTGAGTCTAATTTGCCCAATAGCACCAACAATGGCAATGTGCAGATGTAAAATTTCTATGCAACAGAAAAGAAAGAAAAAGAGAGAGATGCTATAGAATATTGTAAAGGATGCTCAGCCATTGGCTCGCTAATAGGCTTACTGGTTCAAAACTGTGAGTCATTTACGAAATGAGGTTGGGTCATACAGAAAACATGTCATTATAATCACATTATTGGCTAAAGAGGTTTTCCAAAAATGTTCTTGAGTAGTAGAATTATAATCAGCAAATCTACAGTACAAATAAGAAAATTTTCCAAGTGTTTCTTAGCAGATACGACACTGGTAGGTAATGTAGAACACTAATGCATTCACTGTTGGAAACTGCCCAGTATGAAACAATTCTTAAATTCCGTGTCAGTTCCATCTATTAAATCGCGATTCGGACAGATTTGCCCGGAGTTAACATAATAGTCATACTCATGCTATAAAATCATGTTTTGGAACATTATATTTCTATTAAATCTGTGGCTAGCAATATATTGCTAAAAATGAACTAAGAGCCCACAAAACTTTGTATGTTTTTCTTTAGTGAGATCCTATTGGTAAATCATGACAGAACATAAACTTTTTTATAGTTTTTCTATTTTTCTATTTTAGTATTTAATTTAGACATAGAGTATCGAGTGCAGAAATGGAAGATGATAGTTGATGATAGATGATAGCAATAAGTGTTATGCAGAACAAAGAAAAATATAGGGTGTAACCCTATTTATTTGGTTTAGAAAAAGAAGTTGCTGACCAGTGTGTTAGCTAATGCAGAAAATGCTAGCCAGTTAAAGAAAAACATGAACATGTATTAATATGTTAAGGATTAAAGCTTAGGAATCAAGAAAAAGGTTGTTTCACAGTAATCTGTGGTTTCAAAAGTTATATCTTCTGTTGTTTTTTTTAGGACATAACCTGTGTAAACCAAAGGTGAGTGGCCTCTCTTGCAGTATTAATATACTTTTTGTTTGAGACTTAATATATATTGTTCCTTTTTAAATTGTTTTAAGATTATTGTCTTTGTATTCTACTTGTATTCCTCTAGAGGGTGCTGATATTACCAGCCTTAGCTTCTAAAGTGACATTGTTATTATTATTATATTATTATTACTGGTATTTATATAGCGCCATCATATTCTGTAGCGCTTTACAATATTATCAAAGGGGAGAGATTTAACAATAAATGAGACCATTCCAGAAACTTACAGGGACAATAGGTTGAGTAGGGCCCTATTGTTCCTGTAAAGGATGGCAAGTTGTTTATTTAGAAAAACAAAAAAATGTTTATTAAAGATGAAACGGTAAACAAGAACAAAGTATACAACCAACATTTACAATATTTTTACATAGTCATTAACAATTTAAAAGTTAACAATATCATGTTATAACTTCCAGGATAGGAACATTGTTGCATATATTTACATTTACAGGAAAAATAGGGCAATGTTCATACTACTCCAAACCTACTCCGTAAATGCCTGCATGTATCATAGATATACAGGAACCAGTGATGTATCCTGGTTTTGTGCTGCCCTAGGCATGACAAAACTCAGACACCCCCCTCCCCACCCCGCGCCACCCCACCCTTCCCCCCTGCCCGCCTTCTAAATACACACACACACACATTCACTGACAGACACGCATACACTAGCTAACAGACATACAGACTCACTAACAGACACATACAGTCACTAGCAGACACACACATTCACTAACAGACATGCATACACTCTCACTAACAGACACACACATAGTAACACACTCCCTAACAGACACACTCCCTGACATACACACACTCACTAACAGACACACACTCACACACACTAACAGACACACACACACACTAACAGACACACACAAACACTAACAGACACACTCACACACATTCACTAACACACACACACAAGCATACAAACACACACACACTAACAGACAAACACACACTCACTAACAGACACACACACTAACAGACAAACACACACTCACAAACAGACACTCACACACACTAACACACACACTTACTAACACACACACACACACTAACACACACACTAACACACACACTCACATTAACACACTCACTTTTTTTTTTAATTCAACCCCCCAAGCCTCATTACCTTTGGGAATGCTGGTGGGGGGTTCTCCCTTTCCCTGGGGTCCAGTGGTTGCTGGGCGGGTGGCGCTGGTGAGGGAGCACTGATTAGTGAGCTCTTTGCTCAGCTCCCTCGCACGCCGCAGAGTGATGCCGGGAGCCGGAATATGATGTAATATTCCGGC